GAGAATTTCCACCTCGATAAAACTCGCTAGCGAGAATTCGGTTCAAAAACTCGCTAGCGAGAATTTCCACCTCGATAAAACTCGCTAGCGAGAATAAGCAGAAAAACTCGCTAGCAGCAACTGAGGCTGGAATAAAAAAATTGAACAGTGTATATATATATTTCGATCGCTAAAAAGTTAATCTGGACAAAGAAAAAAATTTCAACCCCCCTTAAAAAAATCTCGATCCCTTTTGGCAGTAACGGCTTGCCATACAAACGTCGAACTTTCCATGCACCGAACTTAATTACATAAAAGAATGCCGCCTCATTATCACCTGATATCCATTGTTCTTAATGAGTTCGGTGCATGGAAAGTTCGACGTTTGCCCTAGGCCTAAAGCCTTGATATACCGGTTGCCCGAGTACATCTTGCACCAGTGCATCGAACGGTCACATGCTGATAGACAGTTATTCTCAAAAAGGTTCGGTGAAGGTTGTGCTACTTGTACCATTTGCACACCAAGCCCGAAATGCAATATGGGCCATGGGTGATGTGAATTCAATTAACGTAATGTCGCAAGAGAAATATGAAATTTTCCTAAACATTGTCTGTACTTTTTTCCAGTATATTTTCTTCTGTGTTGAAATTAGTTGCACACAAATATAATGCATTGCAAGCTTAAATTGCAACACGCAACACGCAACACCAACATTTTTCAGTTGAAACAGCTGTATACACTTATTTCAATAAAGTTAGTCACACCTGAAAAGCTACAAAGGTGAGACCGACAAGGATTACGGGTAGATACATTTTACAAGATCTTCTACCAGTTACAAGTTCACCTCTTCTGAGTATCCTCAACTGCTGCAGTTTGTGTCGAAACCTTTACTTGTTGAATATATAATATTTCTCATGATTCTCAGCGATCACAGCTTTCTAGGTTTTTGGTGACTAATCTTATTGAAATAAGTGTATGCTTTTTTCAAAAGAGTTGGTCAACTGAAAAGCTACGAAGCTGAGATCGGCATGGATTATGGGTAGACATTTTACATGTTTCATCAGCTTGATAACTAATGATAGACCAGTTGAGATGATATTTACAGTTAACCGCGTTTTCATCTTCTTTGAGTATCATCAAGCTCCAGTTCGTATAAAAAACTTTTTTTTTACTTGTTTAATATGAAATCGTGCTTCCCATGGTACTCAGCGGTCTCAGCTTTGTAGGTTTTTGGTGACTCCCCCCTTTATTGAAAAAAGTATATCACCACAATAACGTTCAGCTCAAGGTCCGTCCCTCAGGGTAGACCCTGCTCGATGGTAAACAAAGTTCAAAATAATTAGTATCCTTAGATTTAAAGTATGTATTTATGATATAGGGATCAAGAGGCTTTCAGTGTGTGCACTCCTTATTTCAATATAATGCCAATATATAGTTTTTGATACTTTTACGGTTTATTTTACTGGTGAACAAAAATTTCTCACAATTGCCGGATGATACTAGACTGCAAACCATATATCTGTGAAAAAGCTAACTAACAAAATGGTATAAATTAGTGCAAGGTTTTGTAGGTCTATGGTTTATTGAGGTCTACTGAACTTACTTATTTGTGCAATGTCTTACAAAGTTTTTACAGATATATGGTATGCACTCTATTGCTGAGTTGCACTAGTGACGTAATTTCGTCTCGTGCGGAATGTTCATCAGCTGAATCGCAAGTTTTCAATAGCATTCTTTCTGGCTGACAGCACAGGGTGGTCAGTGTTTAAACACCATGTGGAGCAGATAATGAGATTCAAAAACTTTTATCAGCTGAGTGAAAGCCAGCAATGAGAGCAGAAGTCCATAACTTAGTTTCTTACAATAACTTACAAATTTCTCGCTAATTTTAAAGAATTATTCACTGGTCAACTGACATTTCACGTTTGCCGTAAACGAGAATCTTAAACTCTTTATATATTAGTGTGCTGCTAATGTGCCGCCTCTCAGCGAGGTGACCTGGGTTCGAGTCCTGCCAGGCTCAGTGTCGTATGTGAGTAGAGTTGTTTGTTGGTTCTCTCCTGTGCTTCGAGGGTTTTTCTCCGGGTTCTCCGGTTTTCCTCCCTCCACGATCTATTGGCTGCCTTATTAGCCGTACCCAGGTGTGCATGGTAAATGCATTAGAATGAGCTTTATGAACAACTTTCGTAACAGAATTGTTTTATGTCACGATTCCTTGTCATTTTCCGACCGCGTAAGATAGCACTTCATCTATACAATAACCACAGAGAGTAGGAAAATATTCTAAACTCATAAAATACTTTTACTTGATAATCCCCGCATTGACGCTATAAAGGCTTTTCGCCTTTCTTAATTGACGGCCCCTTACGACATCAATTAAGTTGGTGGTAATCATTGATGTCTGATGCCTAAATATCAATAATAGCCTATAGATCAGGTACATATTACGTCACTGCCGCCATCTTGGTTGACGACAACAAAGCGTTTTTCACTAGCTTCTCCTGCTAGATCAACCAACATGGCGGTTATTTCATATCCCAAGGGTTTTTGAGTCACATGATTGCACACATTCTATTTGAACGTATGTACATAAGTTGTTTTGGTTGATTGGTTGTTTGAATTGTTACCCAGAAACCTAGTGGATAATCCAACCAAACAAAGTGACCTGAAAAACTGAATGCTGATGTTTATGAACATTGCCTGCAATCAATCGCATTCGTTCATTTTTAGGTAGGGTTTTTGTGGTTATGAGGTAACGAGCAAAACTAAAAACAGTCTTCTCGGTGTTTTTCCTTTGGGTTTTTTTTTTTTTTCTTTTTTTTTGAAGATACTCTGTGAAAGCAGTGGAAGAATCAACGTCGTATTCACAAGATTTCAAAATCCTAGCAGTGAAGATGCAAATGGACGATATTGTGATTTGCATAGTCAGTGTGACACGTTCCTGAAGATCTGTGTAGCTTCTCCAATACCACCTACTTCTTCTAGCTGTCCAACAAGGATCAGTAAGCTGAACACGGACTCCTTCACTATGAACGTAACCATAAACCCGCCACCATTTAATATTCTAACGGTAAGTAATATTTATAGAGCAGACGAGACAAAACTACTTGCCGCTTTTTTTCTTTCTCTCCCCATCCCCTCCATTTCGTTACAATTTTGTGCGCCTGGCAAGGTCTTTTTCTCACACCGGGTAAATAAGAAAGAAAATTGAAACACCGCGTAAAATAGTTTTTATTTTAGTTTTTTCATGTTACAAATTGTCATAAAAGTGTTTAAGTTATCTTCCAAACACACCCTGGAGTCCCAACTTAGTAGTAACCGCTACTTATTATCCTATTTCCTCTATCATCAAGACGGCAGAGAGAAAACAAATTGCTGAATATGTAATAATAGCGCTTGCCTCTCACCTATTCGACCCGGGTTCGAGTCCCGAGTAGAGTTTTTTGCTGGTTCTCTCCTTTGAAGGTTTTCCTCCAGGTTCACCAGTTTCCAACTTCTTAATTTACAATTGCAATTTCAGTTTATGAAGAGCCACTCTGTGGAAATGGCACTGCTAAATCATATTTGATGTATTTATAATTACATTTTTGTTCTTATTTTTTTATTTATTTTGCCATCAATTCTAGAGTCCATATGGATTTTACGTGGCAGCATGGGATGATGATACTACTTATGATGATCTGATCGATACGTTCTCTTATACCTTCACAAACCAACCAACACCTAATGGTACGATACCACCATGGACAAGTCGGTCAGTGAAAGGAAAAAGGAGAATATCTGTTAAATGTACTCTTGGCTTTAAGTACCGTATCTACTGTGATAGACATTACTATGGACCAAGATGTGACAAACACTGTCAATACACAGACTCTGATAACACTGGTCATTACAGATGTAACAACAATGGAGACAAGGTGTGCTTAACCAACTGGTATATACCACAGTTTAACTGTAAAAAATACTGCATCCCTCGTAATGACAGTAGAGGTCATTATCAATGTGATGGTAATGGAGATAAGGTGTGCTTAACACACTGGTATACAACACAGTCTAACTGTACAAAATACTGCATCCCTCGTAATGGCAGTAGAAGTCATTATCAATGTGATGGTAATGGAGACAAGGTGTGCTTAACCAACTGGTATGGCTTCAATTGTACTGTGTATTGCAAGGCTCGCTATGATAACGAGGGTCATTACGATTGTGATAAAAAAACTGGAGAGAAGGTCTGCAAAACAGGATGGTATGGACCGCTTACCGGCTGCAATTGTCGACCAAAAAATGACACCAATGGACATTTTACTTGTAACGCAACGACAGGAGCTAAAATATGTCTGCCAACCTGGTATGGACCATCGTGTAAAATACTGTGTGATAGGACAAAGGGTAACTATGAATGTAACGCAACGACGGGCAAGAAGATCTGTCACTCTGATTGGTATGGTTCGTTGTGTGAC